CAGAGTCTGCAGACGGGCGTTGGGATAACACAGGTACTGTCCGCACAGCGGGAGTAACCACCGATAGGGAAGGTTCTTCACCCCATGGGTCATCCCATGTGTCTTCTCCTTGCCCTAGTTCTTCAGGTACGGGCTCTTCATCATTCCAGCCCCATGCATCCCCTGGGTCATCCTCGACTATTTCCACAGGTTTAGCTTGTTGACTTTCCTTTTCCTCCTCCAAATTATCATCAAAGCCCCAAACATTCTCCTCTTCTGGCGCAGACCTCGATCCTGCATTCAAACTCTGACCATCGTCATCAAGTCCCCATGCGTCACCTTCATCTGTAGGCGCAAGCCTAACCTTGTCAGGGGTGTCTTGTGAGAGGGATAACTGGGCATAGAATGTTGGCTCAGAAGAAGATATACTTTGAACGATAAGTTTGCGAGTAAAATCGAGAATGTGTGAGCGCCGTTGTCGCTCATAATGAGTACAAACATTGTTGACCCAAGCTTTGATTTCCCTCTCGCTAGAAGCATCGAGCATCCCGACGATGTACTTGTCTTCTAAGTCCACTGCCTTGTGTGCAATTTTTAAAAAAGCAGGTAGAGCTTCAAGCTGCGAAGGCAGACCAGGAATAAGTAAACGGGCCAGGACTGCAGTGGATATGGGTTTGCTGAGACTTCGCAGAAAACTGTGTTTGTGGGTCGATGGGAGGGTGGGAAATAATTGTTTGTGTAAGAAGTCGAGGATCGTGGATACGTTGGCAAGTGGGGAACCTGTGTCAGTGGTATTTGGTGACGAAGGGAATCGGCCGAGGACGTGCATCAAAGCGCCAGATGTATCTTTCATAGTGCTGACCGTGAGTGACGTCGGCTGGTCAAAAGAACACTCGATGTAGTGTGTTAGAATATCTCTCCTCAGGGTGGAAAGATGCGATGCCAGTGATGCGGAGCTGATCGATGAGAGGACGGACGAAAGGGGTAAGGGCTTCAGTGACCGAGGCACTGGAAAACTACTTCAGATACCCCCCACCATCTTGCTTGTCACTCACCAAGCACAAATGGTTTGATGATAACTTGAGACGGGTTCACAATAATACTCTTGGTGTAAGCATCGCTGAGCAGCTCCTCCACACAATTGCTAAGCACACGCAGCCGAGCCTACAAACAAGCAAGTTGAGACAGAACAAAATGATGTTACACTCCTACCTGTATTTCAAACACTACCGATGCGTCTTTCAATGGTCCGGGAACGGAGATCAGCGAGGAATTCAAAGCATGACACGCGACTACAGCCGGAGGCAGATCCCCTGTGTCAACCAGCTTCTGCAGCGCATCCAGTTGTGCTCTACATTCAGAAAGGTGTGAAAGAGAATCACTCAAGACATCTGCATCCAAGGATTCTTGGGCAAGTGATTGGTGAGCTTCCAAAGCCTCGAGCAAGACTGGGACTAGACCGGACTAGTTAAGTATTAGCGATGCGTCTTATGACACAGAGAAGAGAGAATACATGCTTTAGAGTCCGAAAGTGTAACACTTAGGGTTTGGACATGTCCAGAAAGTGCATCCAGTCGTTCTTTCAGAGACTTTGCCGAAGACAGCTGTCTTTGGAAGCTAGAAGAGTCTGCACATATTCTGTCATGAATTTGTGTCTAGTCCAAATCAGTACTCCACGGAGAACTCATATAATAACGGGAGAATACCTTGGTCAATCGAATGGATTCGTCAAGCTCAGCTTTACATGAGGATGCAAAGGACGAATTTAGGGATTGTAATGTTACAGAGTCGAACTTGGAAAGAACGTTCGATGAAACATCAAGCTGCCGCGGGAGATGATCAGGGAGAGGAAGAGACATACGCCCAACCGACGTCGAAATCAGGAGAGTAAGTCTACACTAGTAATTCTGCACGCCTCCACGGACCACGACTAGTAGCTATTGAGTCAGGTGATCAGAATTCACGTGACTCGTCTATAGTTGAGACTTCACTGAGGTACTTATAGGCCTACATGAACAAAATATTCATGCATTTACTTCAGCTCGGAATCCAAGTAGCCAGTAGAAATTACGATTCAAGCAGCCCCCTGAAACTTGTCAGTATGCGACTCGACAGGTTGTGAACGCCGCATCTGCGGTAATTTCGAATTTGGTGATCTACTAGGATATCGTGAATGTGAAAGACAAAATACAACTCGGGAAATTAGATTGGGGTACAAGAAACCTTGTGAAAGGTTGTTGTCGGGTACTTCAATTATACGACGTATCACTTCGCAGAGAGCTCTACAGCATTTTTGAACGCTCCAAGTAGAGCAGATAATTGCATCTTCTCACTCCCGCCGGTCGATAATCTATGCCTAATGAGAAAGATATCAATCATTTATCACGAAACTGGACGTAGGCGAGACATACTCGGTGGTAGCTAGGAAGTCAAGTAAATATACTCGGGCCTGTGGCTTGAATTCAATCGTTTCCACGTATTCGTATGTACCCGATATTAAGTCTTGCAGTGCAAGTCCACGTTCTGTTTTCATGGCCGAGATCACTGACAGAGGTTTTGTGAGGCACTAACAACAGAATGCGAAAGAGCTTACTTTGGTAAGAAGTGGTGAATTCATCGGAAAGCATGGAGTTTACGATGGTTTCAATATCTGACGGGTGAGGGTTTCCAGTGCAGTTATAAATTTCAGTCTCTCCGACAGAGCTATATGCTGCGTGACATGCTTGTAGGACATTAAGGGCTCGCCGCATGTCTCCTTTCGACAGCTTTAAGAGGGCCTTTTTGCCGTCCTGAGTCAAATTTACCCTGTTACAAAGTTGGGTGTTTAGTAACAACTTTATAAATCACTCTACGTACTTCTCAGCTACCACGACGGCATTCACGCGCTTCTCCACCTCTGCAATGGGCAGTGGCGAAAAACGGAATCTCGTACACCGACTCTGAATTGCTGGAGCGATCTTGTTCACGTAATTGCAGATAATGCAAAACCGCACATTCTTGGTGTATTGTTCAATGACACGACGTAGTGCAGCTTGAGCTTGCTGTGTCATCATGTCGGCTTCATCGAGGATGATGAGCTTGAAGCCTTTCGAAAATAATGTTCGAGTCTCGGCAAATTGCTTGATCTGTTCGCGCACTACATCTATACCTCTGTCGTCCGATGCATTGAGCTGAACGAGATTAACATTGCGCTGTGCAGATCCAGAGGGGCTTCACCTCCAATATCTGTTTCTTGTATTCTGCTCCATAAATTCGTCTCGCCACTGCAAGAATTGTGGACGTCTTCCCAGTCCCAGGTGGACCGTAGAATAGAAGATGAGGCAAGCGGTTCTTCTCAATGAATTTCACAACTGAGTGAAGCTCAGTGTATGCATTGCTCGAACCAGGCGGAACTTAACTTGTCGTTGTGATATCCTTGTGTGAAACCACATCGTCCAGTGTGACTGGTCGATACTTCTCTACCCTATCGCGTATTGAGCAAAGACGCCGAGGGGGAAAGATGGGAGACGCAACCAAGGCAAATTCTCATCCTCATGCGGCTCATATCTCCCTACAGCCTTTCCTTTACCCTTGTCAAGTAATGGCGTAGAGTCAACATCCATTTGGCCGTCACCAGTCATGACGCGTTCCAAAGCAATGAAAATTATGAATTCGATGTAGCTGGCTGGCGCGTTAAGCGCGACGCGTCGAAAGCAGTAAGTTGATTAGTCAGTCGGGAGTACTCTCACGCACAGACCATCATCAGGTTGATTAAGGTTTTCAGGGATTAATCATCTTTTCCGCATCCTACAATTGCAACCACCACGACTGCGGCTCTTGCTTTCGTCAACGACTCCATCGATCATTCGTTGGACAGACAGAAGCGTCCGGCAAAATGCAGATCTTTGTAAAGACGTGCGTGCAGTTCGGGACTAGTTTCTGTAGCTTCACCTGACATTGATATCAGCCTCACGGGCAAAACTATCACTCTTGAAGTCGAGTCTTCAGACACCATCGACAATGTCAAAGCCAAGATCCAGGACAAGGAGGGGTAAGGTTTTCTATGGTACATATGTATCATCAATACTCATCACTGTCTTAGTATTCCCCCCGACCAGCAGCGTCTGATCTTCGCTGGAAAGCAGCTTGAGGATGGCCGTACTCTTAGCGACTACAACATCCAAAAGGAGTCCACTCTTCACTTGGTTCTTCGCCTCCGTGGTGGTGCCAAGAAGCGCAAGAAGAAGACATACAACGTGAGTAGCATTGAACATCCCTATTGAAATTTTATGCTCATCATCCTACTCTACCAGACCCCTAAAAAAATCAAGCACAAGCGCAAGAAGGTTAAGATGTCGATCTTGAAATACTACAAGGTGGACTCGGACGGGAAGATCAAGCGTCTTCGCCGCGAGTGCCCCAACGCTGAGTGCGGTGCTGGTGTCTTTGTAAGTGTTAACTCGAATTTAACCTGTCACGTGGGGCTGATGATCCATCTCAGATGGCTTTCCACAAAGACCGTCAATACTGTGGCAAGTGCCATATGACCTACACCTTCCAACCTGGTGCAAAGCCTCCTGCTGTGTAGAGTAGCCGACAATTGTGTCATGTAAACTGGTCGTGTAATGAGCATGTCATGAATCGTTCTACGGATTGATGCTTATACCACATAAACGAGTTGATTGACCAACTTTGTGAGGTTGTTGTTGAGGCCTGAGGTCTGGCACTTCAGTCTGTAAGTGTTATGAACTTGTTTTCTGTCTAAGGCATTGAATGTTGCCCTTGACCCCGTAGCCTCATCCAGTACTTTAGTACCTTACGATAACGTGACAGAATGTTTTACATCGTACCAATGAGTCGAAGGAGAGCAAGTACCACGGGGTGATGAACTTCATCTGCGGGAAAGGTGCAGGCAATGATATCATTTCAATGTCTTATTTGAATTTCAGTACTCAAGTTCATGTGGTGTGGGATTACTACGGCACGAACGAACGATTTAGTGTCGTTGAAGCTGGACAATAACTTCGACTACCCATTAGCCAGACGTATCATAATTGAAACTTATGCAGTTATGCGAAACGTTGTACTAGAACAAATGTAAATATGCATGAGGTACTACGGATGGGCACTTTGGACAGCGATGCATATGCATTTTCCGCTAATTACCTTGTAAATCACTCGTCCCTATCTTGTATTTCATCTGGCAATTGTGACCCTAGCCACCTCAATATACCAGCCAGCACAATCAAGACAACATAGACTGCATTCCCGTTGAGAATATTGTGTTCCTTTGAGAGTGCAAAAAGCGAAGTTGCGAATGCAGGCCCAATGACACGAGCCATGGACGCGGAGGTTTGACCAAGACCATTGATGGTGCCAAGGACGTTCTTTGTGGGGGCAGAGGCCGTGATAAACATGAATACAGTCCCTATAATTATGTGTATTTTAGTTTCAATGACATGATGGGGTTTCGTCGTGACACGTACCGAATGCCATATCCCATATAATGGTTAACGCTAGTTGGCTAATCAATGTAAATACGATTGCATAATCAACCATCCCCCTTGTGTGTACAAGCCACGACATGATCGGGAACATGAGCATGACTGGCGCGAAGCACGACACGGACACACAAAAGAGACGCTTTGGACCAACCCAGTCGACAATTTTGGCGAAGAACAGTGCCTGGAAGATACCATCCGATATTGCAAGCATCGCTATCCATAAGCCAATACGAGAAGGGGTAAAACCAAGGCCGCCAAGATAGGTAGGCGTAGAAAAGAACAGCGGAAAAAGAGCCATAAGAGCAATATCAAGCAAGGCGAGCATGGCGTAGTTTGCAATTGGAATGACAATAGCTGGTGTGAGCAGAGATTGCAGGGGCATGTTAAATGTTTGTGAAGGATCTTCTCGATCATTACTGTCGACACCGTTTGGATTACCTAGAGTGGTTGCTGTCAACTTTGGCCGACGCTTGGTTGATAATGTCTGCCGATCATAAGCAATGTTTTGCGATGACACAGGTAGTCAAACTTACTTCTTCCAAGAAAAATAACAGAACGAAAAAGCCCACTATAATCCCACTAGCAGACACCGCACAAGGTAGAAAATATGGGTATTTGCTCCAAAATGGATTAGCAAATAATCCGGGCCAGTTATCTTGTGGACGCGCGAGCGTTCCGCCTATTAAAGGACTGGTGTGCGGATTTAATTGTGGCGATTCAGATGGTCGATAGTTGCACCTACCCAATAAAGCCTCCAATGCACCACATTATTGGAATCAAGGCAAATCCCTGAGCCATATTCGTAGAGTCCGTCAATTCGCCCACCATAGTCTTCATCACTGAAACATTGCCGTTCAGTACACCGCACATACAGCGGCTAGACAACATCGTAAGAATTGTACTTCGTATCTTCAACTGAAGTCATACCTAACGACAAGGCCCCAGAACGTCGTCGAGAGACCGAAACATAGCATTGATATACAAGTTCCTGATAGCCCTACTAATAACACTGGCTTGCGTCCAATACGGTCAGATAACCGACTCCATCTCAGCATTGTCAGTGTCTGTGCGACGAAGAACAGAGATTCCTGTCGATTGTATCCGATTAGTAGTATGAGGAAATTATGATTCTCGCAACTCATAGTAATCTCGGTGCCTACAATTATTCCAGCATAATATCCCACGGCCGCATCGTCACCGCCAGTGATGCCAAGTTCTCTGATAAGCTGAAAATAAACATATGAAGAATGAATGTAAAACAATCTGATGACCCATTGTCAAATCATCGTACCTGATTGATGTATGGAAATATGGACATCGAAGCGATAGGTTCGACAAGTTGCAATACCATAAGTATGCCTATCTGGAGTTTTGGAAGTGGTGTTTTAGGCTTTTTCGTCTTTGCTACTACGACCAGAGGCGTGGTTTCGCTTATTATACGAGGAGAATTTGAGGTGTCCATTCTGCTAATCAGCCTTGCGAGTCCAAAGAGAAGAGAAGATGAAGCAAACTGGGACTGTATTTATATGGCCTTGTGAATGAGTCATCCTGGATTTTTTATACTTATGACGTTAATATTAATATCAGTCCAGGCGTCCCTCGGAGTCACTGTCATGATGGATAATTTCAGAAATGACTCTAAGCCTAAGATGGAAACGTGTCTAATTATAGTTTTTGTGTTTGGCAAGAGCGTTAGAAACAAACAACCTTGGCCTTACCCACAAGCTTTGTCTCCGTCTCGCTTCCGTTATGATTGAAAAGTTGTTCCTTACTTTGGCTACACTCGCGCTTCTTCACGGTATGAACATCCTTTCTGATATCTCACACTACTCAAGTTGCTCCATAGCTGCATACTCCACGTACGAACGTGAGTATCATGATAAAGCTTAGAGCCCGAGGCAGCCAGGATTTAAGTTAAAAGCTAAATTTACTTGCAGATTTGTCACTTTTGAAGGCTTTGGGAAAGCCCGAAGGATCATTACCTCTAGATGTAAGTAAACTCATCACGTCAAGTACAACATAAATAACAGTATGCTCGGAGTAGATCGTGTATGAGAGCATTCTTGCGCTCATTCTTGGGCTGCTTGGAGCATCCTTGAATGCTCCACCATTAAAAGATATCACTTGGGCAAGTGAAATGAAGAAGCGGTGGGTGATGTTTCGAATGTTGATCTACTCGCTGAAACAGTGTCCTGTTTTTAGGACAATTGACGGAATGGATTCACGACTGGGATTCGCACACTACAAGTCTCGCGGAAAGTTTTTGTTTGCGAGTCCACACGATGGTAAAATATGAAGTGTTGCCGATCAATTGTTCATCATATGCATGCCAAATGTTGCGCGGGTATATAACATAACATTGCACGACGTTGTAACTAGCCTCAGTCGTCATCATCCCCGCCAGATTTCTTCTTGGTTTTCCGTTTTTCTTTTCGGGCTTTCCTTTGATCCTCCTTTTCGGCAGCAGCATCCATCGCAAGAAAATCGCGGATCGAGGGTAATGCGGATGACTCTAATGGTTTGAGACGCAAGGGTTCCTCTTCCTCTTCATCCACTTGAGGTATATGGTTTGATGAAGGCAACTGAGGTGCAGCGCTCTCGGCGGATGCTGGTGGTTGTATTGATCCTTCGTCATTGTGTTCATCTCCAAACCATCCTTTAGAATGAGCGGGTTCGGATGGAGGATGTAAATCATTGATACGATGCTTCGATTCGGTGTTGTCGGCATCTACTAAGTCATCTTCATCACTGTCATCGTCCCCAGGAAAGCCTTCATAGTCACCAGCCCCCGCAAAGATATCTACATCGTCGTCGAGTGGAGATGGAGATGGAGGCCTTTGTGAGCATGCTTCGGCAACAGAAAGTGGTGCTACCGCTGGAAGCTTAGCTTCTGGGTGAGGAATGGTGTTGGACGGCTGGGGTGAACCCAAAATTCCCTCCACTTTCCTTTTCTTCCTCTTCTTGTCACGGCTTGCGCTCTCTTCCTTGCTGCGCTTTTTGGTACCCTTGTCCTCTTTCTGCACTCCTATTGGCTTGAAACCAATTGGTTTGAATTTCCCTGCCTTCTTTGCCTTCTCAAGGTTACGGGCCTCATCTTCGATCGGCTCCGCGGTGGTGTCGAAGGATTGCAAGCCCTCGCCGTTCCTTTTGGCCTTCAGCTCACTGATGATTTCTTCGCGAGTCCTCTTCTTATGTGCCGTGTGTTTCGAGGAGGCTTCGATGAAAGCTTGTTCAAGGGTATCATCATCTTCGGTAGAAGCAGCTGCCCGAGCTTTGTTCTGCTCTAGCAGGGATATATCTAGGCCCTTCACTAGAATTGTATGTTCTCTGTCTCCGCCCAGATACTGGCGCTGCTCATCGACCTAGGGAATGTCAGTAGAAACATGAAAATACATGGGATAGCACACACAGTATTTTTATCATCATTTGCAGTCCGCTGTTCAAAAACTTCGAGAACAGCTTCAACCTGCACTCATTATTAGTGTCCTAAGCACAGGACAAGGACAGATGTACCTGAGCATAGTCACTTTTCCCGCCATCACGTCTCTCCGCGGCCCTATCACGGTATCTAGATTCAGCCTTCTTCACTTTGCGTGGCTTGAATGTTGGCGTAGATGATCCCGAAGCTTTCCTGTCAATTTATTTATTACATGCATTTAAACTCGAGATATTGGACATGCTGCTTGAATAAATCGGATGCTCCCCGAGCTCCTTTGAGTTGCGAACTCGCACCGGGCACTCGAGGTGCCTGAAGAAGTTGCCTGAAAGAATCCTGTGTCAAGTATCAGAGATATGAGAGCTCGATAGGCCATCCATTTACAAACCTGATCCATAGCAAGAAGGAAGGCGTTTTAACTATTTCTTTCGAGGAGGCGTTGTTTGCACATGTTAGAATCAGAGGCCCGGTATGTGGTTGTTGCCGTGGCCGTCGGTATTAATGTCAGAAGCGCTTACTAATTACTAATCAGCATCCCTTGTTAATTTTTTTTTTTTTTTTTTTTTTTGGAAAAGCGGGTCTATTATTTAGCAACTGACGCTGTCTAGCTCTAAATAAACGCTTATAGCGGCGCACTGGCGCCGTCCGAGGAAAAATGCTACTTATGCACACTCCATTCCTGGGAGTAGTGTGGGGCTCCGTATACTACCTGGACACCTCGGTCTGCGGGGGCCGGGGTAGTTTAATACCCACTAAAACCTCTAGGGCGGTTACCCAATCTTTTCCTGTACTATATTTGTCGTTGTTTGTTGTGATTACATCAGCCCATGTATGGTATACTTGTGATGTCGTCTTGGTTGATCGTTTCGTTTTGCACGCTACCACTCTGTCTAGTTGTAGCCTATTGTTTATAGTATTCGTCCACCGTGTTATGGTATGTTCATCGGTATGTGCTTGTTCTCGGATGACGCGCTCACACCTTATTACCCATATAAGATAGGCCGACTCTGATATCAAGATTCTTAGGAGGCGTGATGCCCCTTTTATTATCGCGGCGCATTTCTTGTCATTGTCATCTCTGTTTGGTGCGTTTTTCGGGAGTGATAGGTTGCCACATCCTAAGATGAGTCCTAGGGACGGTTCAGGCCACGGGCCATGTTTCTCCGGCCAAAGGTTTTTCGCTAGGTGCCATATTCTCTTTCTTATTGGGTTTGTGCATTGAATTAATATATGCTCCATCGATTCTGGTTCTTCTCCGCATGATTGGCATCGCGCTCTGTGTCCGAGATTGGGTAAATGTGTCCAGAAATCTCCAATTCGGAATGCATTATTTAACGTTTTATATAGGAAGATTTGTATTTTCTTGGAGATGTCGTTGTTCCTGCATCCTCGCCATATCGTTTCATCCGTCTCTAGTGTGGTCGTTAATGTTTCAATGGCGTATCTAGTGATATCCAGCATGCCTAAGGTTGGTCTTTTGTAATCTATGTGTTTCTTCGTCATTAACGCTCTATAAGCAGTCTTTTGGTCTACTTTTGACAGTTTTGCACCCTGGAGGTCGAAGTTCCGAGGGACGTATGTATCTATGATGTCGGTGGTTATTTTTGATGCGCCGTTTTGAGCAAGGTGATCTGCTTTCTCGTTTCCTGTCACTTGACTATGTCCCTTGACCCATTGGAAGCTAGTTGGCGCCGATCGTCGGCGTAGTTGATATGCTATAGCTTTGAATATTTGGGCGTTTGCCACGTTGATCCACCCGGCGTTCTCCCACTCGTCAAGGTGGGTGTTTAGTCCGTTTATTACATATTTAGAGTCTGTTATTATTTTGACAGGTGTTATTGGGTTTGCGTTTTGCAGGGCTACTAGTACTGCCACAAGTTCACCTATTTGATTTGAGTGGTGCGTTCCAGGCATGCTGATTTCTCGGTTCATTGGGTGATGTTCTTCAATCCAGATTCCTCCTCCGCACTTTGCGTTGTATTTGCCGTTGTTGATGCAGGAGCCATCCGTGAATATGGTGAGAGTGTCGTCGATTGTCTGTCTTCCGTTGAGAGGGACACGTAGTCTGTATGCAGGTATTTCAACCGGTCTTGATGGGTCTACAAAGATGCGGAAGCAGTCCGTCAGACTATTCCGTATTGTGATAGAAGGGTTGAATAGGATTTCTCCCCGCGGTTGTGTACGAGCTCGTACGTTTTTCTCGAGGCGTCTATGTGTTAGCGTTAAGTGATCTTTTCTAGGTGTCGTGTTAGGGTTATATTTTGGGAGGAGGCTATCTAGTATGTGTTGTGCGGTCTTTGCGCATTGGTGGGGGTTCTTACATCCTGCTAGTCTGTCGTTGATGCATTTGGAGCATGTACATGTGGCTTTCGATTGGTGAGATCTTTGGTCTTTTATTCGTTTGGCAGTGTCTTTTAGATGTTTCACTGATATTACTCGGTGTGTTTGCTTTAGGCAATTATTTTTGGTCCTATGGTATGTTCTTGGTGGGGCGCCTAGATGTAACCAGGCTGGGAGTTGGTTTTTGAGGCTGTCGGAGATCTTTAAAGGTGCGAAGCTCACATGGTGTTTTTTGGCTGTTTTCAACATGTTTGTGATTATATATGGCAGTTTGCTTGCTTGTTTGCCCTTTGTGGGGGGGTTCCAGGATGTCAGGAACATGCGCAGGTCAGTGTCATTAGTGATTCCTTCTGGTTTCAGTGTGTTGATTATGGCGTCAGCAACAAACGCCCATGTTGGTCTGTGATTTGTTATGTCCATGTAGGTTCTTAGCCATGTTATGTCTATTGCTTCATTCCTTACTTTGATGTTTAGGAGACCAAGGCCTCCTTCGGCGATGGGTCTTTCCAGTCTCCCTGTGCTTATTGGTGGGGTTGTTTTCCCGTCCCATATGAAGTTCCTGATTAACTTTGTGACGGCGTTCTCGATGTTTCTAGGCATCCCTTGTGCCTTTGCGAGGAATTGCGTCATTCCTCCAACTACCATTTGTACAATCAGTTTCTTTCCATCGAGGGAGGGGTGTCCCATGTTCCATCTGTTGAGGTTGTCTTCGATTTTTGTTAGAGTCGATTCCCAGGATGCTGTTTGTTCTGTCTCGTTGCCTATCCAGGCTCCGAGTGATCTTATAGGGCTGCCGTCTTCGGCTACTCTGACTTGTTCTTGCCAAGGTGCGTCCAGGTCAT